GACTTGGGGACGCCTGGGGTTCTTAAGTTGATTCTGTATGTAAGTCAGAACTGGCGGTCAGTTTCAGCAGCGGCTGAATCTGGAAGCCAGTTCCGACTTACATACAAATTCAACTTAAGAACAAACCTACAGTCCCTATCTTGTACGTAACCCGGGGACTGCCTGTACTATCTTCAGAATTGGTGAGTAACAAAGGCAAGTGATTAATCTGATGTTTTAAAATAAGTTAACACGAATCAAGTTCTTATGAAGCCTATCAGAAAGTAGGCCACTAGTGAGGACTAGGCTGTGCCAAAGACAATTGTAACTGATTTCATTTTACAATTAACATACAACCATCATATTGTACAGTAGGAACCAGTCTTATTTTTCCTCCTCTGCCTTTTTCCTTCCCTTTGCTGCACTCATTTGTCTCATCCCAGATGGCAAATCTTTCAGAACAGGAAAAAGGAAAGACAGACAGTGTAAGTGTGGGTGGATGGTTTATGTGTATGCAAATAAAATACCCAGCAAAATGGAGCCTCTTTCTGACTGAGGACTCAAAATAGCTCCACAACACCACTGTAGTCAATAAAAACAATGAAGAAAATTGCATAAATGGCACCCAATGTAACAATAGGGCCTATGCAACAAATGCTGGCATGGGAATTCAATCCTGAATGAAGGAACATAACCTACCTGCATAATAAGAAAATGTTCTCTTGCTTCTGTCAAAAACAAACCATCGTTTTTTCCATGTTTTAATTTTCCCTCCCATTTTAATGAGAAAGCCCCGACAGGTTTTCTCCGTGAGTGAGATGTGGTAACAGGTCTCTATGTTGTGACCAGCTGTTTCAATGTGACCTCGTAGATCGAAGTCCTCCTTTCTGATGGGCAAGTAGCGAGTCAAAGGGCGGGCCTAATACAGAGCAAAAAGATACTTCATAAATCTTTCATCTTTTTTCTTTCTGTATGTGGTAAGCAGATAAAAAGTGTAAGTTGCACCCATGTTCAAACTATTAAGGTAGCAAAGATTAAATTTGTGAGTTGCAGCTTTGAATTTTATTAAAAGAACAGACACCTTTTTGCAATATGTACCTACATCAACTGTTGAATACTGGCATAAAAAAGATGAGGGTTTGCAGCAGAAAACACAAGTTTCTTAAAATCATTAATTAAACAAGAGCTCAAATAACAAGAGTTTTTTGCGGGATTAAAGCACAGATGTGTGTGTCAGAATCAATGAACTGCTCTGTATTTGTTTCCTTATTTATGCAACTTGTTAATGTTGTGTATATATACAACTTGTTAATGTTTTTCAAGTGCTATGACACACTTGAATGGAAGGTGCTATACAAGTGCAAAGTATAATTACTGTAATATCAGGATAAAGCCCGCATGCACAAGCATGAAAAACTAAACCGAATCAAATCCATAGTCAGTTTTACAAGAAGTTTTAATAACTGAAATACAGTTATTTCATGATCAGATTATACTTGATTTCTAGTCCATAGTCATCCAGCTGTATGCAATGCAATGCAAAAATGTTCAGCTCTATCTCAGAAACACAGGGAAGACATGACAGCAGACAGTGAGGCAGTACGGAGTAGGGATATTAAAATGCATGTAATTTGCTAACCCTTTTTAACTACAGAAAATTTCAGTGGTTATACAGTAACACCTGAGGTGGCAGCCAGCTCCTCGGGAGCCAGTGTGCACCAAGAGTTGGCTTAAAAGCAGCATACACCAGCTCCTGCCTGCCACCTTCTTCCCGAGGAGCTGGCTGCTACCCCACACTGTTACCTCTGATACAGAGGCAGCAGTATGAGTCAGCAGTCAGCTCCTCGGGAGCTGGTGAATGCCAGGAGCCAGCTTTTAAACCAATTCCCCTCATGTACTGGCCCTGCCTGCCATCCCTGCTAGTGGGGCAGCAGGTTGGAGCCAACTTTTAAGCTGGCTCCCAGCAAATACCGGCTCATGCCTGCTGCCCCACTCCTGGGGAGCCAGCTGCTGCCTCTGGTTCCCTGGGAGCCATGTGTAACTATTTGGGTAACCGATAAGTTCATTCTTATTGGTTACCTGTTTAAACGGCTACACTCTTACATTCCTAGTATGGAGTGCTGACTATACTCAGCATAAGCTTTTCATCTGAACCATTTAGGACAGTTGAACAATTTATGCAAAGTGTTGTTGATATTGGGATTTGGTTAAGTGAGTTGGAGGAACAACCTGAAGTGAAAGAAATATGAACTTTCTCACCTGAGAGTATCTGATGTGACAGACTCACAATTAAAGGAACTTACAATCACTGCATCATTTACTGCTTCTAAATACAGTGTTGTTCTTTTATATTGTGTATATTTGGAATCCTCTGAAATTGAACATCACTGTACTGAACAAGCTGCGGGTAGCTTTGATTTCTGCAGAACATGCTGCTCTTTTTACTGCTCTTTAGCATTTAAATGTCAGGAAGCATTGAAAAGAAAAACCCAGAATCCTGGGTAAGCCACAGAAAAGCTTGTGTGTATGAACTGTTGCTTCTTTCATATAATATTGGCAAAATAAATTTTCATCACTCAATTGGTTTGAAGAAACTGCACCTAGAGGGGAAGGATGGAAATAGAAAAAAAGGTCTTCTGTTCTTTTCAACAAAACATTTGGAAGAGGACAAGTTACAACCTAAAATGTCCTATGTATAAACATAATTGGGTATTTTCACAAAGTTACTACTCTCAGAAATGTCCATTATTCAGCATACTTGTGATTCAGACTGTTCTGCTTTGAGTGGATTCAGTGACAAACTGCATAGGATTAATACAGTACATTTACAATGCCAGCATAAATGGGAGAGGATTCCTGTGTTAACATTTACTGATTTAGATTTAAATAACTAAAGAGACACCTATCCAAAGCCCCTAACAGATCATTTTAAAAAAGCTTATATGCTTTAAAATAATCAATTCAATAGGCACTCAAGCGGCTACTGAAACTCCTTTCCATCCCTTCATCATTGCGGGAAGCTTACCATATAACTGTTCCAGTGCATACATGGTAGGTAGTCAACAAACCTGTGCTCTTTGCTTCTCACGTATCTTAACTTCCTTTTCAATTAATTTTTGCCGCTGGCTAGTTTCTTCTTGTAATCTTTTCTCTAGTTGCTCTCTGCGACGTTTTTCTTCTTCCAGGGCTCGTCTTTTGGCTTCCATTTCCCGTTCCTAAATACCAAAATACACACAGAGTTTCAGCTATAGGCTATGTAAAACTACATTTGAGAAGCAAATAACCTAATCCCACCAAGAGGTCCTACAAGCCCCTCAGTAACTCTCAGGGACCCAAGAACATATGCAAGTGAACTGGGAAAGAAGATCAGAATCACATTTGAACTAGGGATGTAAGCGACTAGTCGACTATCGGATGAGCATATGCTTATTGGATAGTTGACTAGTGATTCGTGTAGTCACTTCCCCCCCGCCCCTTGCTGCCTCTGTCAGAGAAGCAGGGTGAGTGGGG